TTGGACAGCTTGCCATTGGCTAGAAGCTGCAGAAGGACAAACTTGCCACTGAGGCCTATAGTTTCTGTGTGACAGGCACAGGCCCAACCCAGGTTAAGCCTCAGTGACTGGGGCAACTTCAGAGAGCCAGGGTGCTCAGTTGTGCAACCACAGTCAATGTATGATTCCACTAATCTCATCAATGGCCACTATTTAACCCTGCTGAGTTACCTGTGTCATGTGAGTATCAAACTGAATTTTTGTGGGAATGTGAGAGTGCAGGTAGGTCTTCAGGGTCACACTCTAACTGGTGTTTCGCTGAGTTAAGCCTACAACATTGACATGACATAGTTGTGTGTTCCAGCATCCCATTCAGCAATGAAGGAAAGACTTGCATGTGTTATTAGATTTAGGCTATGAGGACATCCAGTCCTGTTTATCAAGCATAAAGTTATGTCAAATAATGGTTTGAGCAGTGGACCCAAATGCACACCTCAGGAGACAAAACAGTAGGTTTAAAAGTTTTAATAAAAGAACACTAAGAAGGAAACAAGTGAAACAGATCAGATGAGTTGGAATATAGATCACCTAAGCAGAGTAGGCTTAAACCTACAGCATCTGGTGTGCCAGGTAGTCTTGCATGCAGGTACTGACCAGGCCCAGTGCTGCTTCAAATATCAGGCGTGCCCAGAGTAGCATGGCCGTAGGCAAAGGGGGAAGAGTGGGGCTCCAGAGACAGACAACAGTGGAGTGACAGGTAAGGTGGGGTCTGTGGCAGATGATCAGACAGTGTCCTTGGTGGAATACCAGTGCTTTTAGTTAATTGTGGAAGAGGGTACAGGTAGTGGAGGAATGCTTAAAGGACCTTTCAATGCTTTATGTCAATCATTTTAAATCTACAGAGTAAAGCGTATGAAATGTTTTGATTTCATTGCTTTTGTGAAATAAAGTTTTAATGAGTAATTTACTCTGTTAGGCCTTTTATTAATATGTACAAAAATATCAGGTACTGTAACAAAATATTGGATGGCAAAAATGCCATTAGATAAATGGTTCAGACATGTTACTCCAAAGCATTCATCACTTACTGTTTAATACTACAGACCTTATATGCCCATTTATATCAATAAAAATAAACAAGTTACCTTTGAAATGAGACCAGGGTTATAAGTGTAATCAAAATGGTTGAAGAACAGTAAGATTATAATTTTGGGTACATTATTATCTTGTTTCCTTTGTGTATCCGGTGGAACTATAGACACATATGAAATCCAAATTTTATCCAAATCTAAAAAATATACACATACAATACATTTCTATAACCAAAATAGTGTAGATAAAGCCCTCAGCGCTGGTTAACCCACTTTTTAAATGTTCTTTTTCTTATCTTTCAGACGAACAGTGATTTAGAAAAACACCTAAAATCTCTTAAAGATTGATTTTCTTGTGTTCATAAACCAAGATGAAGCCCAATATGTGTACGTTGTTAATGCTGAGAACAGTAGCTGCTGTCTTTTCTAATCAAATCATTTCATTTTCAAATGGTCTTTCTTTTGTATAATGGACTTTATTAGCAGCAGTCAATACTACAGCTCAGTTTTAAAAACAAGCAAGTCATTCTCACCAAAACATCATGTTAAGTGCAGAAATTAAAAAAAAAATAATAATGACCATGTACATTCAGCAAAGAACCACAACGGCACAGCAACCAACATGAATGGTACTTGAATCAAATATTGGAATGGTCTACATACAGCACTCAAAGGCAGATCCAGCAGCAGCAGAAATGGAAGAACAGTCAAATAGTAAAGCTACACTCAGCAAGAACCAGCAGGGATGGGCATCTCCTGGCCTAATAAGGACCTGCTTATTGGACTCACTCCCCCAATCAGGTGTTATCAATATAAGCTGCAAATATTCAGAGTCCTACCATTAATGTGATCACATCAATAATTTCTCTATAGTAATGGGACAATATATCGTGCCACAAAAACACCACAATATGTATCTTTTGTCTAGTGATATATATTGTGTGTTCTCCATACACTAGTGACTACATATTTTTTGTAAATAAGAACAAAGCGTAAGTAAATATATCTGGTTGTTCTTCACATAAGCAAAAAAGCACTAAAAAGGAGGGGACTGGAATAAAGTACAAGTATCTCACAGCTATTCATACATTGTTGTCATTGAATTTTTAATTGTATCATGATCAAATCAAAACATACACACTAGCTGATCGTAATGCTCCTTAGCGGAGCGCTCCAGATCCAAAACAGTACAGCTTTGTGCAGCAGTGTTTTCCTCCAATGGCCCCAAGGCGATTGCCACGTCTTTCTTTAGAGACTCTGACATTATGGAGCCGACTTTAGTAATAATTTCAGCCCATAGATCATCCATCATAACTTCAATGTAGTGTAGCATGTCTTCATTAGCATCTAGCTTCACCGGGGACTGCCGACGTGGCCTACCACGACCAGGCTTGGCAGACTCATTTTTTAGTCTAAGACTCGCCATTTACCTGACTACGGCCCCAAAGATTTGGAATATAGTAAAAACAGTCCAAGCACATAACAAAAATGAGCAGTGGACAGATATGGGAAGTTAAAAATAATATATATCAGCACATTCCCTAGGCGCTACCCCAGATCATGTCCTACATCGTCTGCCTGGACACCGTCAGCAAATAGCACACACCATATCGTGCATCGAATCGCATCGAGAAAAAGTCATATCGTTCCATCCCTATTTATCTAGTGAACTGTATTTACTGATCCAGGTGCTTCTGCATTGCCTTATGCAAAGAATGCAAACATTCTTGACATACATACTTTCAAATAGGAGAAATCTAAGGCTTTTAATGGTAAAATGTAATACATAATTGACTTCAGTAGTAGTGGAGCGGTTTTAAAAATGGTAAACAATAAATTGTCAGCTTTTTTCAGATGAGTGACTTGCTGTTGATCTGCTGTTTCCACTTGAAACTTTAGTCCATGCAACTTAAGTTTGGCACAGAAAGGAACAGAACGTTTGGCAGAGAAGCATAAAGTACAAAGGAATAATGCCCCATCGAACTAGAAACTACAACTGAAAAATGTATTAAAAGATACTTCTATATATGAAAGTATCTTCATGAATTTTATGATTCACAAAACAAACACATTCTTATGTACACACCACTTCAATTTTTTTTTTTTACATAAATTGGAATATTAGTAAGTATGTGATCTTTTATGGTCATTCTCTTTTAATTAAGAGAGTACAATGGGATGTAGAGAAAACCAGTGAGACTGCCCTTTACATACACGTGTAAGAACTTAGGTTGGTTTCATCTCCATATACAACAACACCAGGAGACAAAGACATTAACTCATACAATGAACGATATGCATAGAAGAAGGAAAAACTCAACCTTCTATTAAATCAACTAGTCTCTAAAAAAAATGCTGTGAATAAAGACCAACCCTGGGTCTCTGAATGTAAATGGACCACGGGCTCAAGGCAAGGCTCCCATTTCATTTGGAAATCAGTGGAAATAATCACAACTGCCACGCCACCTTGGTCACTAGCTGTAGCTACGGTATCATTAAATATGATACATTAAGAGAGAAAATGGACTTCTTACACTGTTGATTTTTTTAGCACACATTTTCCACACTCACAAAGTCGAGCCTGAGCCAACTCCTCCTCTGGAAAATTACACCATCCTTTTTATACATTACACACATCACCTTATGTGACAAACTAGCTTGTACAATCAACATAGACTTTCTAACCTGGGGCACAACAACAATTAGTGGATAGAAAAGAGCTGCTCAAGCCCTATGCCTTCTGTACTTCTTCTGCTCTGCTCTCTCGCTTTGTTGCTACAGTGTTTGAACTCTGCTGCAATGTCTAATCTGATATTGTAGACTAAACAATGATGCTTCTCCTGCTCAGCACTGCTAAGTTGCCTTTAATAAGGTGTGGATTCTGAGGTAACTGTGGGCTGTTAGGCTGTTGTTAGGCTATGCTCGAGTAGTGTATTATCTATACACAGCTGCACAGCAATTTTATAATTAACTGCACACCAAAGGAGACACAAAGTTTACATCAGTGGCTGTTTGGTTGGCTGAAACACTGGTGTGAACCATTTCTGTTCCCAGAAGAGCTAAACTCTCCATCCACCCTCCACTGGACAAAATGAACTGACTCTTTACAGTGTCAGGAAACAAATCACTAAAGCACAGTGGGAGGCAGAGCAAAAAAGAGGGAGAAGGAAAAAGAACGGATGATGGAGAGGATGAGGACAGGTGACCGAAAGAGACCCATGGTGGAGCTTGGGGTCAGTGGGTAGGTGGCATGTTGTCCTGCCTTGTACAGGTGGTGGCGGGGTTGTAACTGAGGCTTCAGCCCCCACTGGGCTGCTGCGTTCAGCTCTGGGTTCTAACTCAGGACCTGGTTGTGGCTCTAGCTCATTTCTCTCTGTAGTACAGGAGGTACATCTTCAGAGGCTCAGGCAGAGGCAGGCCCAGTATCCTCTCTCTCAGGATGTTCACGGCTGGCTGGGGCCGAAGCAGCTCCCCGGTCTCCTTCTCCTCCTCCTCCTCCTCCTCTTCATCCTCTTCCTCCACTGTCTCCTCCTCTTCCACCACCCCTCCTCCTCTCACCACCCTCCTGTTTCCTCTCATCTGCCGCATCA